CCCCTCACAGTAGCCCCATGGACAATATGGGCCAAGTCATTCTTCATGAGGGCTCTCCCTGAGCATTGTAGGACGTCTAGCAGTACCACTGACCTTGACCCAGTAGATCCAGTAGCACCTCTCCCCTGCACGCATGACAACCCAAAATGTCTCCAGATTGTGCCAAATATCCTTGAGGGCAAAGTTCTTCCCCTCCCTCCAAGAACTCTGGATACAATGAAAAATCACCATATCGAATAAAGTGTATCGTGAGACAGAAGGTGAGAATTGTAAGGAGAATTAAAAATGTGGGACAGGGTAAAGGGGTCTAGGGAGGATGGGGGTGTAATGGGATGAATGTTTGTATCCCCCCAATTTATATTTTGGAGCCCTAACCCCCAGTGTGGCTGTATTTGGAGCAGGGGGGCCTCTCTGGAAAAAATCAAGGTTAAATAAAGTCACAGAGGAAGGGCCCTAGTGTCCTTACAAGAAGAGACACTACCCCAGTGAGCAATCCCCTCACCCCCGTTAGGATGGCTCTCATCAGAGAGACAAGAAACAACAGGTAACCAGCTCCCACTTCGGCTCCCCCTCCCAGAGCCCCCTCCCCAGAGCGGAGCCCACCCAAGGGCCCCTCTCCTGCCCCCCAGCCCAGCCACCCGGCCAGAACATCAGCCCACGGGGGGGCAGACCCCACCAGCGCAGCCCTGTCAGACCCCCCTAAAGCATGAAAACCTTCCGAGTCCTGGGGGACTTCTCCCACCTCCTAGCCATCTTCCTGCTACTGCTCTAAATCTGCAAGTCCCGCCCGCCCTTGTGCCGCGATTTCAGGGAAGAGCCAGGTCCTTTTTGCTGTGGTGTTCACTGCCCGATACCCGGACCTCTTCACCAACTACCTCTCACCGTACAAGACATGCATGCAGGTGGTCTACACCGCCTGTTCCTTCACCACAATCTGGACGATTTACAGCAAGTTCAAAGCCACTTACAGTGGAACCATGACACATTCCGGGTGGAGTTCCTCGCTGTTCCCACGGCCATCCTGGCGTTCCTGGTCAACTATGGCTTTACCCCTCTAGAGATCCTCTGGACCTTCTCCACCTATCTGGAGTCGGTGGCCATCCCGCCCTGGCTGCTCATGGTGAACAAGACCAGGGAGGCCGAGACGATCCCCAGCCACTACTTGTCTGCGCTGGGCATCTACCCCACGCTCTATCTCTTCAACTGCATCTGGCGCTACCACTTCGAGGGCTTCTCCAACCTCACTGCCATCGTGGTGGGCCTAGTCCACACTGTCCTCTACTGCGATTTCTTCTACCTCTCCATCACTGAGATCCTGAAGGGGAAGAAGCTGAGTTTGCCAGCGTAGCCCTGGGCCCCGCCATCCCTCTCCTCGGCGGCCCGTGAGAGGCAGAGGAAGGCAGCGAATGACGAAGAGCCTTCTGTCCAGGGGTGACTTTTTAAAGAACCAACCTCTCCGCACTCCCCAGTCCCCCTCCTGCCGGGTTTCGGGGGGGGGCAGTGGAGGACCCAAGTCTTGGGGAGCTCAGGACCTGGGGTGTTTGTAGTTTTTTGCCTTTTGGAGAAGAAAAAAAAATCTTTCCATTAAAAAGAAAAGAAAAGAAAAGAAACAACAGGTGTTGGCGAGGATGTGGAGAAAAGGGGACCCTCGTGCACTGTTGGTAGGAAGGTAAGTTGGTGCAGCCGCTGTGGAAACAGTATGGAGGTTCCTCAAAAAATAAAAATAGAACTTATCCTATGACCCAGCAGTCCTACCGCTGGGGATGTGTCTTAAGAAAATAAAAACACTAATGTGAAAAGATATCTGCACCTGCCCCCCATGTTCACAGGGCCTCAGCCCCAGAAAGGCTTGGACTGTCCCTGGGGGCAGAGGGGATCTGGGAACACGGTGAGCAGAGAGGGACAGTGGCTGGTGATGATTTAAAAGGTCTTTCCGTCGGGTCAGCAACGTTAGTCACAGCAGAGTGGCCCAAGGGTCTACCTGCAGATAAGTGGATCAACAAAACATGGCCCATCCATAAAGTGGAGTGTTATTCAGCCTTAAACAGGGAGGAGGTGCAGGCACCTGCCACCACCTGGGTGAACCCTGAGGACACTGGGCTCAGTGACATGAGCCAGCCACAAAGGGACAACACTGGATGGTCTCACTTCCGTGAGTCCCCAGAGGAGTCAGATCATAGAGACAGAAAGTGGATGGTGGGTGTCGGGGAGCTGGTGTTTCTTGGGGGCAGTCTGGGAAGATGAACAAGTTCTGGAGGTGGAGGGTCGGGATGGTTGCACAACAGTGTGAACGTGCTTCCTGCCACTGACTGGACACTTGACAATGGTTAGAATGGTACATTTTTATGTTACGTACATGTTACCGCAATTTAAAAAAGGTGTAAGAAAAAGTCCTGGCTGCCTTGGAAGACTGGACCACAAGGGGGCGGGCCACCGGGAGACCCGGCGAGTCAGGAGTCCCGACGAGGGGCGGCGGGCGGCGGCGGAGAAAGGTGCTCTGCGGACTCTGACGGTGCAGCAGACACGATTTCTAGGGCTGTTGCCGGTCTGGTGTGAGCATCTGCAGGGACAGACTGCCCTGACCTGAGACAGGAAGGCTGTGACAGAGCAGCTGTTTGATCTTGGGGTGGGGAGGAGGGGTGCAATCAGATCGGTTTGGGACTCGCAGACGCAGACAAGTCCGTTCTCCACGTGCCGGTGTTCAGGAGGTAGCTGGACATGCGACTCCGAGGCTGCATGACTGCTGTGCACGGCCACAACTGCATACGGTCGCAGAGGACGGGACTCTCCGGAGGGGACATGAAGAAGTGGGGGGCAAAGGGCTGCCCAGCAGCGCCCTGAGGGGTGCCGCCCTGAGGAGGAGCGCTGGGGGGAGGGGACTGCTGGGCTGCTGAGCCAGGGGCGGGGGGGGGGGTACTGAGTACTGTCCCAAGATTCTGCAGATGGGTCAGGGTAGCCGAGGTCGCAGGCCGGGCAGGAGTGGGCTCGAGAGAAAGGAGGAGAAAGTAGACCGCGGGGAGAGGTGCAGCCGAGGCGGGGTGGGGCTAGGGACTCACGAGGTTTGTTTCCCTCCGGTTTAAAAAAAAAAATGACGGGAGCGCCTTGGAGGCTCAGTGGGTAAAGCGGCTGACTCTTGATCTCCGCTCAGGCCTTGAACTCGGGGTCCTGAGTTCCAGAAAAGAAAAATAAATCACAACCTGTTCGCTGAAGAGAAGGTTCCAACTGAGACGCGAAAGCCGGTGCCCTGGGAACGGGACCTCAGCGCTGGGGGGGATGGAGAGAAAGCGAGCTCCGCGGCACCCGCACTCAAGACCTGGGCAGCTCCGTCGGCCGCCCCTGGTCCCGCCCCCGACATCCCTTGGCCCCTGGCGGCCGCTTGGTCCCCTGGGTAGGCGCGCGCGGTCGCCGCAGGAGGCCGAGGGTGTGTTCGGCTCGAAGGTCGGGCTGGACCGTGGGTTGAAATGAACCGGAAGAAGAGGATCCCAGGGTGCCGGGGAAGCGGGAGTACGCACGCGATGATGGATCCGCGGTGCCATCGGGACCCCGGGGACGCAGCGCACCAGCAACCCCTCCCTACTGAGCAGGACGCACTGGACAAGCCTGCAGCGGGGCCGGGAAGAGCGTGCTTCCAGAGCACCGCTGCCTGACGTCTACCGGCGCCTTGCTTCTGGGTAGGCTGGGTCCCCCTCCGCGCGTGGACGTGGCTGTGTGCCGGTGCGCAGAGAGGGTAACCGGCACGCGGAGAGGGTGACCGGAGCAGGTCACAAGTGTGAGACGGAGAGGCAGAAAAAAGACGAGGCCGAGTGGCGTCTTCGGCCCCAGGGGCCCCGCAAGGCTGCAGCGCTGGGCTCCGCCGTCGGGGCTCGCGGCGAGGAAGAGCGCGGAAATGCGCACGTCCGGGATCGCGGCCCATAGTCTCCCCCGCCCAGGCCCCCCGGGAGCCCGCCCGACCCGGAAGAGGAGAGAGTGGCGGTCACGAGCACCGCCCCTGCCCTGGGTCGGGAAGCCGGCGGCCGGCTGGGACCACAGCCGACCAGAGGCCCGGCGCAGGGGGCGGAGACGTAGAGGCGCGGCGCTGCCCAGCACAGCCCGGGCTGCTGGGGTCTCCCGCCCGCACGCGGCCGGGACGTGGGCCTGGGGCGCCTTCCCCGGAGCTGCTGGGCTTTGCGGGTACCCAGTCGACGCCGAGTGGAGCGCGTCCTTTCCGGAGGGGCGGGTCTACCCCGCACGCGTGGGCCCGGCAGGAACCTGAAACCCGCGCGCCTCGGGCGGGGGGGAGCACGCGAGGCTCTTTACTTCCAACAGCCCTGAGCATTCACGAGGGAGAAAAGGTCACAGAGAAGCCAAGCGACCCCTCCGAGGTCACACAGCCGGGGAAGGTGGTAGGACCTCAAGGCTGGGAGAAACGGGGCCGAAGGGGGAGTGGCAAATAGTTGTCCACGCTCCGAGAGGTGTAAAGGAGGAACCCGGCCGGCCGGAGGGTCAGGGGCTAGGCCGCGCGGGAGTGACGACCAGAGGGTGGATTCCCCACGGCCCCACAGTCTGGCTCGCTCCTGGCCCTGATCTCCCCGGGGCAATCCGACCAGACCGGACCCTGCTGGCCGGCGGGGAGCCTCCCCAGCCCCTGGCGTGCATAGAGCCCCTCCCTCAGGATCGGCCCCAGGGACACCCCGAGACTCCGCATTGCTGGACTCTTAACAGCAGATTTCCCGCTTCCTCAGTTTCGCTCCCGTTCGCAGTGGCTCTGGACGCCGCCTCCTCCCGGCAGCCCTCGGGACTCCAACAACTGTGAGCCTGGTGGGGGTGTAGGTGCAGCCCCCGCCAGGGCTGAGCACTCGGAGTCTCGGAGCTTCCTCGGTCTCTTTAAACTGGTGATTCGAGCAGTCTGGGGTTCCCATGACAACGACGGCGGATGGGGGACCCGGGCGGGGTCCGGTCGGAGCGCATGCGCGCTGCGCGCCCGACGCAGCACGTCTTCCCGAGTCGCCGGCGCTGCTGTCGCGGGGTCCCTGAACCGCGGTGAGGGCGGGGTGGGGCGTTCGCGGGCCTGGGGGGCGGGTTGTGGGCTCGGGGTGCACGGGTGCGGGGGGGTCCCTGAACTGGGATGAGGGCGAAGTAGGGGGTCTGTGAACCCCGGTGAGGGCAGGATGGGAGGGGTTCGCGGGCCCGGGATGGGGCGGGGTAGGGGGGCTGCTGAACCGGGGTGAGGGCGGGGTGGGGGGGTCCTTGAGCTGCGGTGGGATGGGTTCGGGGGCCCGGGGTCGGCGGGCTGCGAGGGTTTCGCGGGCCTGGGGGATGAGAGCGGGGTG